TGTTTTTATTTCTTCTTCCTAAGATTGAATCACTAACTATTTTAGAAAATTTTCCTTTTCAATTTTCCTTTCTTGAGATCTTCATCAAGACTAATACAATTTTGGCAAATGCTTGTAACCTTTTCTAATTTTTTTACAGGTGATGAGTAAGCAGCCAATTGGAGATGTTCTATGAGCTGCGCCCCAAACTGGCCCTTCGACTAGTACTGCAAAAAATTATTGTTCTATGAAAGGAATAAGTTTTACATTCCTGAGAAAAAGTAAAAATTTGAAAGAATACAGCAGAAAACAATAAGTTTTGAGCACCTAATACCAGTTAAGCTCGACACTCCTTGCATATGCTTTGAAATTTAATTTTGGTAACTATATACACAGCATAAATGTTTGTCCGGTATATATTCTGGGATTTCAGTCAAGCTAAAGCACACCAGAGAACTCCTCCTTAAGCCAAATCAAAAGAATAGATAGAATTTACGGGTAAAGGACACAAAATGACTCAATATCTCTAGCTCTATCTCTGAACCGTGTTTGCAAGACCCCAATCCAAGTACGTTTATTAGAAGGGTAATGTTAGGAAGACCAATTTTTTAAACTAAATTTGCAAATCAAATGACATAGTTGTTAATAATTAAATTATTACTTAAGTTTTAATTAACGTACTTATTTTCTATTAGTGACGTATTGTTTTGTTTGTAAATTTAGTTTAAAATTTTGGTCTCCCTACCATTATCCTTATTAGAAATACTTGGGAGTTTTAACTATAGATAAAAGAGTAATGCTAGAGAGATCAAATTTTTTAAACTAAATGATATGGTTGTAGATGATTGGATTATTAATTAAGTGTCGATTAACATGTTTTGTTTCTTATTGGTGACACATCATTTGATTTAAAAATTTAGTCTTCCTAACGTTACTCTAGATAAAAACATAACTTACGAACTTCATTAGTTTTAGATCATTTCATGGGGAGACTAAAGCTCAAACTTCAACAAACCTAACAATAAAAACAAGCAAACCAAACTTTAAATTTTAGTCCGTGTCCTGAACAGACCTATTACTTAACATAGCCCATCCAACATAACTTTAACGAATTTACACCCTGCCATCAACCCAACCCTTTTCTGACCACTTCGACAAGGGCACTATCAAAACTATATTTAGAATTAGTTTGTATAATTTATTGTTAAAGTCCCACATTAGTGTGTTCAAACAAACCCAATGGATTTAAATAGGATTACCCTACTCTAACTAATATTGAGGCATTTTGTGGTAAAACCCCACACCTAACGGATTAGGCAGGTGGTAAAGTTGGGAACAATATCAGTATCGTTAGAGTGGGGTGGGCTCGGCGATCCAAAAATACAACATGGTATCAGAGCCCACAGTTCGAGCCCCTACAAGCCAACGAGCTTGTCACCCATAAGGAAACAAGTATGAACTCTTAATGTAGAGACGACTGTTGAGTTCCATTGAAAACAAGTGGGCCTAACGGGAGCCGACCTCTGAGTTTCAATTACCGATGTGGATCTCCACGTGTGAATCACTAAAAATGAGGTTACACGTGAGGGGGAGTGTTAAAGTCCCACATCGGTGGGTTCAAAGAAACCCAATGGGTTTAAATAAAATTACCTTACTCTAACTAATACCAAGGCCTTTTGTGGTAAAACCCCACACCTGATGGATTGGGCAGGTGATTAAGTTGGGGACAGTATCGGTGTCATTAGAGTGGGGCGTGCCCGGCGATCCAAAAATCAAGTATCGTATCAAAGCCAAGGTTCGTGCCCAAGGAAACAAGTCTGAACTCTTAATATAGAGACGACCGTTGAGTTCCATTGAAAACAAGTGGACCCAACGTGAGCCGACCTTTGAGTTTCAATTACCAATGTGGATCTCCATGTGTGAACCACTAAATGGGGTTACACGTGAGGGGGACTGTTAAAGTCCCACATCAATGGGTTCAAAGAAACCCAACGGGTTTAAATAGAATTACTCTACTCTAACTAATACTGAGGTCTTTTATGGTAAAACCCCACACCTGACAAATTGGGCAGGTGGTTAAGTTGGGGACAATATCAGTGTCGTTAGAGTAGGGCATGCCCGGTGATCCGAAAATCCAACATGATATCAGAGCCAAGGTTTGGGCCTGAGGAAACAAGTTTGAACTCTTAGAGATAATTGTTGAGCTCCATTGAAAACAAGTGGGCCCAACGTGAGCCAACCTTTAAGTTTCAATTACCGATGTGGATCTCCACATGTGAACCACTAAATGGGGTTACACGGAGGATGAGTGTTAAAGTCTCACATCAGTGGTTCAAGGAAACCCAATGGATTTAAATAGGATTACCCTACTCTAATTAATATCGGAGCCTTTTGTGGTAAAACTTCACACCTGATGGATTGGGTAGGTGGTAAAGTTGAGGACAATATCGGTATCGTTAGAGTGGAACAGGTCCGACGATCCAAAAATCCAACATTTCTTACTATAATTAGTTTAGCTATCTGTAGAAGTAGTTTCTATACTTTCAAAGAATATACATATATATATATGTATATATGTATGTGTATATATATATGTATATATTTTTTTGGAAAATACTTTCAAAGAATTAATTTAACTTTATGTATACTTTCAAAAAAAAAAAAAAAAAATCCTGTGAAAAACCGTTGAACATTGTAGCTGTTATGTAATTAGGACACTTGATATGCTGGCTTATGCTCCATGTACATGAAAAAATCTCTCCCCAACATGGATAGTCCTCCATAGTCTATCAAATGAAAATGCTTGAAATTTATTTGACCAACCCAAGGGAAATTCTTCTAGCCGGAAAAATGGATAGTTGAGATTCTTAATTTTATATATCACTTGGAAAATATTCCAAAAACAAAAGATATATAGTTGGAATCTCTCTCTGACCCCGATGTCGTCGCACCATCAGTCGCCGCTTCTACATTTTCAAAAACCCAATTGAAGCCCAGATTCACACTGCACCGCACTCCAACCCAATCGACCCACACACCAGATTTGAACGATCCTGCACTGACTCCCACGAGTCGAATCCGTCACAACCTATCCAGATTCCACAGGTACTTCATCTTCGCCTTGAACCTGCAACATGAACCCATATCGTCACGCACCTTTACTTGAGCGGTTGAACCTGTGAAATAACTGCCGTTGAACTTGCTCGAACCTCTCGCTTCATCCCACTAGATAATTTAATGAAGAGTAATGATAGGTAGACTAATTTTTTAAATTAAATTTGCAAATTAAGTGATGTGTTACCAATAGCAAAAAGTACAATGATCGACACTTAAATGATAATCCAATTATTAATAATTGCATCATATAATTTACAAAATATGATTTAAATAGATGATCTCTCTAGCATTACCCATGAATGAATGGTTTGGCAAGAAGTTGCGATTGACATGAAACGATGATAATGGAGTAAATAGTGACCTAAGAGCATCCTAAGTAAGGAGCTCTATATGAGACTGAAAAACTTGTGGATATAACCCATTTTAGAGCTTCGAGAAATCAGTGGAGCTTTATTAAAGAATCTTTCCCAATGGGGGGCTATATTATTTAGGCTCTATACGGGGCTATATATATATATATATATATTTATGTAGTAATTTGATTAAGCGATAATTTTTTTTTTGTGTGTTATCTACTCTTAAGTTGATTTTGAACATGCTATCTTAAATTTTTTTACGAACCCTTCAACCTAAAAAGTTCAAATTGTGATAAAGTTAGATTTCATCACTTATGAATCGTTTGTTGGATTAGATTCCCTTATCTCAATCTCATCCATTAAAAGAAACAAACATCTACTTCGCCCTCTAAAATAATTTGATTTTCACGTATAACACAACAATTTACCTAGCACCAATTGGTAATTTAGCATCATACAATTTTGAAAAAAAAAATATTTGAAAATTTCACCCATCAATGCCTATGAACATCAAATCAATTTGAAATTTCCATTCTTATGGAATTTAAAACAATCATTAATTAGCGAAATTGTAAGAAAAATAAGTAAGAAAAAAGAATTAAAAAAAATAATAAAAGGAGAGTATAAGTGTATTCGCAAGTGGATGGAGAGTGATAAAATTTTGCTTACATGAGTTGCTAGTTTTTTTGTGGGACCCACTATTTTTTGGGGCTAGATATAGGCCGATTTTATGCTACCCAAGAAAGGAAGTTGCTAGCCCCAATGGTGGATCCAGCCCCATTTTCGGCTCATTGGGGATGAAATATCTCGCTAAGACTAGAAATGTGGTAGCCTCATGGAGGATAAAGCCCCCATTGGGGATGCTCTAATATTGGCTTAAATTGAGAAATTAAGGCCATATTCAACCGAAGAAGGGCTAGAGGGCTCGTCTTAGTCCTCTGGCCATCCAATAAATTAGTATTTTAATGAACGGTGCAGGGGCATATTTCTTATTATCTCCAACCGAGAGTTAAAGGGCCATATGACTCATTTTAGCCCTGTCAAAAAAAAACATCTCTAACCGAGGGCCAAAGGGCCAAACATAATTTATTATTTAAATTTAACAACTACAACCACTTAAATTAAAAACTACAACAACTTAAATTTAAAAACTACAAGTTAAATTTAAAAACTATAACAACTTAAATTTATAGGAAAAAATGAGAATTTTTTTTAAAAAAAAAATTGGCCAAAAGAAAGAATTCAAATCCAACGGTAACTGATGTCAACTAGCCATTGGATTTGAAATTTTTTGGGCTATAAATATGGTGGATATTGGGTTATAATTCACACACATTTGAATTCAATCTCTTTTAATTCAAACTCTTTCAATTTAATCTCTTTCAATTCAAGTTTGCAATGAATTCCAACTTTGGATCCTCTTTGAATTCCAACTGGGGGTCTGAATCCAATTCCGAATTAGTAGAAAAATGGGCGCAGATGAGATGAGAAGATGAGGAGTCTGATGAAGAACATGAAGCATGGTGCAACAGAAAATATGTGGCAGCCATGGCTGCATCCATGGTATGTCAGCCAACTGAGGAACAACCTCAATGGGGTGGCTTTGTTGCTTGTCGCTCTTACAAATCACGAAACAGAGAGATGGCTCATGATAATCTGATGAACAACTACTTCAACCCCAACTCGATGTACACAGAAGAGGATTTTAGACGTCGCTTTCGGATGAGACGTTTTGTGTTCGAGCGTTTACTTCATGATGTCCAACATGTCAATCCATACTTTCAACAGAAGCAGAACAGAGCAGGCCGCCCTGGTTTCTTACCTCATCAGAAGGTTACTATTGCACTCCGAATGATGGCTTATGCCTACCCAGCTGATGTGATGGATGATACATACAGTATGTCTGAGTCTACATGCCTTGATACTCTTACTGAATTCTATGACACAATTACTTATCTTTACAAAGAGGAGTACCTCCGTGAGCCAAATCAAGAAGATATGGATTGGCTTATTCGCAAAGCTGAAGACTATGGTTTTATGGGCATGATAGGGTCATTAGACTGCATCCATTGGAATTGGAAGAACTGTCCCACCTAATGGCAATGAAGCTTTAGCGAAAGGCTGAGAAAGCCAATTATTGTGTTAGAGGCGGTTGTCTTGTATGACATATGGATATGGCATGATTTCTTTGAAGTCCTTGGATCCCAAAATGACATTGTAGTTCTTGGGCGTTCACCCTTCTTCAATAACCTGACGGAAGGTAAATCATCTCAACTTGATTACTACATTAACGGTCATTGGTACAATATGGGGTATTACTTGGTAGACGACATCTACCCAAAGTGGGCGACACTTGTCCAAGCAATTCCAAACCCTGCAAATGATGCCAAAAAGTGTTTTACCTTACACTAAAAGGCATACTGGAAAGATGTTGAAAGGGCTTTCGGTAATATACAAACATGGTGGAAGATCATCAAGGAACCGGCAAGAAGGTGGAGTCAAGAAAATTTGGACTCCCATCATGATGTCTTTAATCATATTACACAACATGATTGTGGAGGATGAGTGAGATGGGTATATTGATGGAGAGTCTGATGACAACCAAAATGATCCAAATAGGTTAAGAAGGGCTCGTGCAAAAATATATGATTGGCCTAATTTGCCTTTCAATCCAAGAACTGGTAGTATCTCTTTAAATAAGTACATGAGGCGTTATGATACGTTCCCGTACTACAAACAAATACCTACAACAAGATCTTGTTGCACATCTTTGGGCCAAAAGAGGGCCAAAAGAAGTATGGAATAGACGTTTAAGTTTTATGTTGTTAAATGTTCTTAAAAATGTTGTTTAAGTTTCATGCTGTTAAGTGTTTTTTTTATGTTGTATAATTTTTATGTTGTTTAATGTTATTTAATGTTGTTTAATATTGTTTAATGTTGTTTCATGTTACTTAATGTTATTTAATGTTGTTTAATGGCTTAGGAAGTTATAGGAAAAAAAAAAGATTTTTTTTTAAATTTTGTAAAAAAAAAAATTTTAAAAAAAAGGGCAAATTTTGCCAGGGCCGGTTGGTTGGCTAGTTTGGGCCGGACGGTTGGCCCTTTAGCCTGACCCTCGGTTGAAGACGATTTTCGGACTATTTTCAACCCTCCGGCTCTCTACTAGACCCTTCGGTTGGAGATGGCCTAACTACTTAGACAATTAGACTGAGAAATTATTGACATAAATCCTAGAATTTTATAGGAAAATGTCAAACCCGGCTAGAATTGTACTGGCTACTGAAATGGCTTACACTTTTTGGGGATAACTAGCAAATATGCCCGCGCTCTACTGCGGGTTTTCAAATTGTAACCCACAATTTAACACACCCGTTTCTAAATTATTTAGAAATCAATCAAAGCAATTAAATTCACATGGTGAAATAAGTTTTTTAGTTTCATCTATATTCTATTAGATTTACATTAAGAGTCTATGTACCATGCAAATCGAAATTTCTAAGTCCTAACTATTACAATTTACATGATTTTTTTTTTTTTTTTTTGTATGGATTTGAGAATACGATTGTTTAATTGTCCCTCAGGTGTAGTAGTAGTAGTTGGTGATGTGACAAAAATGTACCTGCACAACGATTCAAAATTGAATCCTGATTTCTTGTACCATAAGTAGAAAAGGAAATGGTGCAAGACAATATATTTGAGGCACAATTGAACCTGATTTAGAAGATTGACTGTGCACAAACTTGAGATTTGCTATCCTCCTGTGAACTCCACCATTGGTCATCTTAGTAATAACATGTTGGTTTCAAAAATCAAATTTATAAGTTAGAAAGCTGTAAAACTTGATTATCTATGTTGATATATACGACGACATCTACTAAGAACGCCATGATTTTTCATCTTCTGTATAGGTTTGTCATTGTCCTTCTGTAAAGGATAAAATGTTTTCCATTTTATCCCAGTAAACTACCTGTTAAGTCATGGTAAATCAAAATGGACAAAAATTATCAATACCTTTCTCAAACCTCTTGGGATTCAAGTCAACCCGAATCATCAGTGAAGAAGAAGAATTATCGCCAAGCTTGTGCTGTATATTATTGCAAAGTACTAAAAGGATTCCAATAAATATGTAAGTTACAGTTAGGATAATCAAACATTTTCAGGCAACATATGTGCACCATCAGCATGGCAAACATTTTCATTAAACATTTCCATTCCATTTGCAGTGTTAGAAGTATGATCTTCTTGTATCCCCTGAGTTTTGTTGAAAACCTTGGATTTGTTTAAAGCTGAAAGGATTTCCAGTCAAATTTCACAAACGATATCGTTCCACAACTTGCCGTGTACATCAAACAAAGGCTCGAACATGATAAATAATATTAAAAACTGGCTCAATCTGCTTCAATGGAGAACCAAGAACATGATGGATTAATAAAGGAAAGTAAACATGCACAGATTAACTAATATTTGAATAAACAGAATGATCAATCATAAAGTAGACTAGAAATTTAGGGGAATGCCCAAGACAGTAGGAGACTCGACCGATCATCTTGTTGCTTCTCTTTCTAATAGAAAGAAATCAAGAACTAACTAGATACTTCTGCATAAAGAACTATATCTATAATGATCTTAAACTAGGTAGTATTCATGTTGCAATATTCAACTTCAACGACTTCATCCATCACTCTTCTCTTGCAATTATTGGAGGTGCAATTTGCAGCTTTCTACGCGGTGGGGAAGAAGATAACATTGAATAAAGGTTTGATGTTGTCAATCAACACAAATACACACACATCACCAATCGCCAAACTATTCTCTTGCACAAATTTCTTCCAACCACTCAGCAATCTGCATCTTCCAGTCTCATATTGTTCTAGTTTGACACGCCAAGTTCTCCCATCTGAACGCCGAAGGAAGACATGATCACAAGTCTTGCTAAGATGTTTCTTGACAAACTTGGATCGCAAGCTCTGGAAAAACAAAAGGGGTAATGCAGAAAGTCAATAATTTAGGCAAGAATGCTTACGATTAAATTTTCTCGGTAGGGATAGATATGTTAACCAAATTTTTGAGGGCTTTATAGCAAGCTTACCAAATAGCAATATTGGAGATATGTGGGCTGCATGGCAACCTTGAGAAAAGGGTATTCAGATGTAAAGGAACTAACCATCTGAAGAGCTTTAGCCTTTGCCCTTGCAGAGGGACCAGCTTTGCCTGTTAAAGAATATAATGAGGATATTTTAAGTTAAACAAGAATGACGCAGAAAACACAATAAGGAAAAAAATAGGGAATAAAATTAAAATTTGTAACTTCCGCTTCTGATATCGGTCATTGTGGATCTTTGTTTTTCATTGATATCTTGAGCATCATTTCACAGAATCAGAATTTCTGATTGGTATGTATAGCTATGGAACCACATTGTACAAGTTTGATATTGGTTTTTGCCTTACCACCTGAACTTGTTATATTCTCCTTGTGAGGTCGAGGACACGGCAATGGAGATCTCCCTTTTGTTTCTCTTTGGCAGGGTGAAAATTCGTCTAAGATTTGAACAGAATCATCGCCAGAATAAGCCTCATAATCATCACGAGCATCATCACTAGAATCATGATCAGAATTATTGGAAATGGAATCTTCATCAGTTTCTTCCTCCTCAGGAGTTTGTAGTGGATAGTCAATCTCTGTGCAGCTTCTATCAAATATGCGAACCAGGAATTTTGAGTTCCCTTCGTACCCAAAAACCAGCCAGTAAGCAAAGTCTAGAGAGTAAAAATGTGAGAAGTCTGGCCAACCTTTCTCAAACCAAACCTCACCATCATATCTTCTAGGTTCCATCTCCCATTCCAAACCACTTGGAACCTTAAGAACTACTGAATTTGACAGACCATCTCCATATTTCATCACAAATTTCGTTGGAATTTTCTGCAAAACAGAGAAAGTTTCGACTTTAATTTTGAAGTGTGAAAAATTAGTTGATCTTTTGTGTCTAAGAAATGAATCATGTCAATACTGTATAACCTAACTACTGCAGCAAACATGAGAGAGAAAGAGAGAGGTGCTTACAATTTTGTTGTATTTGGAAGTGTCATTTACAATGATCTTGAAGAAATGGGGAGTGGTAGGGGAATATGTGGTCGGGCAGTCATCAGTTTCCTGGGTTAAACAAGCCATTGTTGAAGAAATTGCAGTATTTTCTTGTTCTAATCTGACGGTGAATTAGGAGAAGGTCACAATGAATGAAATTGTTAGATGAAAAATGAAATAAATGTAAAACCAACCAATCCACTCAACCTCAGCAATGATTATTATTTTTTTAATAACTTATGGTCAATTAGGGTGTGTTGAGTCTATTTGTTTCCCTATATCTCAAAGCGCTGAAATTAGCTGTGTGCATGGAAATGGCAATTGGATTAAGACCAAGGTTGGCAAAGCCATTACTCCTCAGCAAGAAGGTCAAATGCATGTGTGTAAAGTTGAATTTCTTTCTATGATAAGGGATAATAATTCATAAGAAAATTTTGTATTGAAGTAAAAAGAAGAAATTCCAAAACCATTAAAAATCATAAGTGAGAGAGTGAGTTCATCTTCCAGGAAATAATACAAGTATTATTAGGAAAAAGAGTATGACATGTGCAGTAGGTTAATCGACTGAGATAAAGAAAACAAATGTAACACAAAAACAAATAAATGGTATAAGGACTTTTCACGAAATATGCAAAAGAGATTCTTGTAACATTTGTAACTTGTAAGGGTTCGTTCACAGTTATATAAGGGTGTATATATTCACCATACACCTAATCATTTGTCATGTGTCTTTTCACCATACAAAAAAGTTAAGGTGGTGATAAAAAAAATACTCCCGTTATATAATTCCATCCTAACAGTGAGAAGGATGTAGTTCCAACTTTAGTAATTAAGTTCCATATAACTTGTTTAGTTCACTATAACTTGTTATATTACACTAAGTATGCGCCATAAAATTTGTAACATGAAATTATAGTATAGACGTGGATGCTATAGCCACGTTCGCTAGATCAAATGTGCTCTACTCAAATTCAAAATTTTCCCCGCCAAGTTTAAATTAGGCTAAGATCATCAC